CTTGTTTATGTTGTAGTTATTGGAAAAATTGGTAATAATTCACAACTCTTTATAGTTTTTACTTTAATTCTGCCCAGACACAGAGACAGTGAATCTGGATTTCAACTAGCCAGTTGTCAAGTTCCCTTATGATATTCTTCTGCACAACTTAGAGAAACATGAGCTAGTTGTTAGCAGAGGATGGTAGCTATTTAATAGTTGAAGGATTATACCAAACAGGTGCTTATAAACAAATCAGTGATTTTCAAACTTTTTGGTTATGACTTACAGTAAAAGATACATTTTACATGATTACCTAGTAAGCACACATGTACATACGTATGTGTATGTAATTAAAATAATAGATGCCCCTTGATATTTTCCATTCTGTTTCTTTAAACTGCTGTTTGCAGCCTACTAAATCTATTTCATGACTCAACTAATGGGTTGAGGTCTATAGTTTGAGAAATGTAAATTGATTTCAATCAGAATGTTTCTAGTGACTATAGAGCTGTTTTTATCCTGTTCCATCAAATATTTGGATGAAGATATAAAAGGATTGTGCTAGTTTGAAGACAATACAATAATAAGACAATTTTTTTTGCATGATAAAAATAGGATTAAGAAATTCCCAGCAAATTAAATTTAAATGGAAAATTAAATAGAAAAATTGAATAAGATAAAAATTGAATTAATTTAAATTTAAAAATGTATGTACATTTTTGCACTTTCTGTCTCAAAATCTATATGTGAGGTTTGTGTTGCTGCTTAGCAGCAACATGTCTACAAACAAAACGAGATCAATAACAATGAAACAAAAACCTTGGTGTTTCAGTTGATAAGAAGTTTAATATGAGAGGGGACTGGAACTGAAATTATTTGGGAACCTACTATATGCCAAACAGGAATCATTGGTGATTACATGAATCATTGGTGTCACTTTGCTATAAAACCTAGACCCAAACAAAACTGAATCAATTTGGGGTTACATTTTATTTATTTATTTATTTATTTATTTATTTATTTATTTATTTGAGAGAGAGAATGAGAGATAGAGAGCATGAGAGGGAAGAGGGTCAGAGGGAGAAGCCGACTCCCTGCTGAGCAAGGAGCCTGATGTGGGACTCAATCCTGGGACTCTAGGATCATGACCTGAGCTGAAGGCAGTCGTTTAACCAACTGAGCCACCCAGGCGCCCAATTTGGGGTTACATTAACAGGAGTTATATTTCTAAAGATTGAGGTTTGGGTAAGAGTTACCTTCTGTTTTGTACTGGCCCAAACCTACCTACCCAAACACTTTTTCAGATAAAGTTTAGAGGGCAGCTAGAAACCCATTCTTTAAAGAACAAGTCAAGGGAATGGGGATATTTAGCCTGGAGAATTGCTGTTTTCATTCATTCATTTTTTAAACACCTTTACTCAGTATAAATTACAAGCCAGCCATGTTAGGTGCTGAAGACACAAAAATAACCACAGCATTGTGTTTTCCCACAGCCAGTGAATGAAAACATTATTTATTGACCCTTGCTACTACATTCATACCTTAAATGTATTAGTACCTTTCGTTCTTTAATCCTATGAATCTCTAGTTTGGGTTGGATAAACTATGGCTTTGAAGATAAGTCATTTGCCCAAGATTACACAGGTAAGTGGCTCAGAAACTGGAATCCAACTCATGCAAGAAGTTCTACTAAACCTGGAGCATGTGTTCTCAACCACTGTGCAATATTGCTTCTTGATATGTCATTTGCAATACCAAATCACTATATTGTACACCTGAAACTAATCTAACATTGTATGTTAACAGTACCGAAATTAAAATTAAAAAAATATTGCTTCTTAAAACTCAGATTCATGTGCTTCTTACCTTTGAAAAACTGTCCTTTGAAAGTAGGGGTATGCATCTATTCAAGTAAAAATGTATGCAAAATTAATATTCACCACATACAATGGTTTTAATCTGGAGATTTAAAAAATGAACATTTTAGGTAGCTTCTATTATTATGTAATTGTCTTTTATTTCAAAATATTGTTAATGCAAACACTAAGCCATTTGTGCATTTACAGGGAAATAGGCTTTGTAGGCTAAAAGGAAACAAACCTGCTGTCTTTTCTAAACTTTGTGCTTTTGGGGATAATATTGAAACCATATAACTGTGCAATTATAGAGACTTGTATGTGGTTTTAATTGGTTTTACATGTGTTTATAGGTCATTCAACACATACTGTGCCTGTATACTAAGGGTACAAGGACATATTTACTCTGTGCTGGCTGCTGAGTTCAAGTAATTCATTGAATTCTCCCTTCCCTATGGGATGGGTATTCTCATTCCTGTTAGTAAATGAGGAGACTACCCCAATAAATTGAGTAGGCTGCAGAGGCAGTAAGTTGTGAGAATGATTCCAAAGCCTGTGCACTTTCCACAGTACCACACTGCCTTCAAGGAGCTGACAGTGTACTGGAGAGTGCTTTTTAATTAGAAAGCTCTTTTAAATATTTCTGATATTGAATTAAGTATGCAACAGAAGAAGTAGAGTTTTCCTACTTTGAAAAAGTGATATCCTTTTTACCCGCTCCCTATCTCCACTAAAGGAAAATGAACAAATACAAAATGAACAAATGAGAAAAAACCAAAGTGCACACACATACTGCTTAAGAAACAAAACAGAGAAAATTAAAGTGAAAATATTAAAATGACGTTAAGCTATTCATTTGGAAAGGAAATAGAAAGTTCAGGTTGTCACTGTCTCTCAAAGCACTCATGCAAGAAGTCTAAAAATAGCAAGAGATAGAACCTGCTGCCATATTTTTTACACACAGCGGGGTGAAAAAAAGCCAGTGTGATGATCTTTCAGTCTGGATTTTCATATTTAAGATATATCATTTTAGATTTACAAATGAAAATAGTGCTCACAAAAGTAGGTAACACTATAAATAAAATGCTATAGGCAGTTATATATGTCACAGGATTTTTAAATTATAGCATATATAAGTCGTGCTATTAAAAGTTATTGGTTTTGCAAGTTTTTCATACAGTTTTGATCATTTAAGCATTTTATAATTCAATTGCTACTTAATATAAATGGACATACCAATTATCACTTCTTTCAAAAGGATTTTTTTTGTCTAATAATTCATTTTTCAGCACAAGTTTGAAACAACTAAAAACTAAGCGTAAGTGCTGGATTTGAGGAGCTTTGTTATACATAACCTATAGTACCTTAGAATTTTACCATGTTCCAATATTCTGAGAGTTAACTTGACTAGTTGGTCCAGTTAAATATGAGTAATAACAAATTGGGTTATGATAGATTTGTATATTGACTCTCTTCACTTGAGATGACAATTAGAATGACTTGAATATGCCTCCAGATACTGAATATTTCTGGTGGCTTGTAATATATCTTTATTGAAAAGGGCATACTTCATGAAATATTAAAGAAAATTACATCCTTCATTTCAAAGGAGATAACAGCAGTCATGCCTATTTAGTTTTAATTCAGGACTAGCAGCAAGATTACTGTATCAATTTTAATTTTCTGAAGCAGTAATATTTTTGTTTTATATTTATGCAGACACAGTAATCTCCTTTTTTTACACATTAAGGCTGGCCATGAGGATTACGTATATTTTTAGATAATTTTAAAAACCTCTGAACTGTAAGTGACTAAGGAAAAGGGAGGCATCGTTAGTTGACATCGTACCTGAAAATCGCAAGGGATTTTTGAAATGTGGGATTTGTAGCTCCCACCAAACTACCCTATCTATAGTGTCACTCAGTGCAGGCTTTTTAGGCTGGTAGGTGAGTTCAAGAGCTGTTTGTTGTTCAGAGCTCCATCCAGAGCTGATCACTGTTTGACAAGTTCTATTTTAAGTCGTGCCTGTGTGTGCAGGTGTCAGCCTCTTTCATGGCTGTAGAAAAAGATCCAGTACACTCCATCTGTATCCTTCCCCGACAATGCAAGATCTTTCCCCATGGTGCGTTTGTTTCTGCTTTGCCAGCCACTTTTTATTTGGGTAATTGGGGGTTGGGGGGGCTAGGCGGGCGGTACTGAGAGGAAGGGCGAGGAGGGGCAGAAAGAGGTCGTCTGCCACTCCCCTACCTTACAAGGCACGTGGCACTGGCAGTGGCAGCTGCTGGATGCAATGATGAAGACGAAGATGATGAACCTCCTCTTAGCAAAAAGATATTGAAGGAAGGAGGCAGCGAAGGCAAGACACACTCACTGTGTCCTTCCCCACAGGGAGAATCCACCCTCAAGGGAAAAAGTACAAGGAAGCCACTACCCGCCCCGCCTCTACCAGCTTGCCCCAGGGTCTGGCATTGGTCCCCATGCACCTGCTCACCTGTCTATCCGTTCAGGGTGGTTGGGGGAGGTACGAGGGGTGTCGGGGTGGGTGGGTGGAAAGAGAAGGAGGGCAGGGCAAAAGAGGGGGTGCACCGAAGGCTCCGCCCCCGAGGCTCTGCGCAGGCGCAGTGGCCGCTACCGCAGGCAGGGGGCGGCAACATGGCGGAGTGAGCGGCGGCGTCGGGGCTTCACAACAACAGTGGCTCCCGTAGCAGCGGCAGCAGCAGCGTCAGTAGCGTTGGCCACAGCCTGAGCTTCAGCACCGGCCAGCGTCGTGGCCAGCTGCTCGCCCCCCAGGGCTTTTCGGAGCGCCGGCCGCATCTCCGCGGGGGGCGGGCCGGGCCGGACGGACAGGGAGGGGGAGAGAGAGGAGACAGCGGTAGCGGCGGCGGCAGCGGTACAGCTGCTGGGCGGGCACTGCCGCTCGCCGGGCAGCGGTTAGCGGCGCAGCCACCGCCGGGAATAAGCCTGGGAATAACCCACCGCCTCCGCCGGGGAGGGCGCCGGAGCGGGCCGGACTGACGCGCAGGCGGGAGCGGGCCCGGCGCCGCGGCGCTGGTGGATGCTGGGGCTCCGAGGCGACGGCCGGGGGGCGGGGGCCGAGGCAGGTATAACGGTACCGGCGGAGGCAGTGCCTCTGCTCTTCCCTTCTCTCCAGGAGGGGGGCAAATGGCGAGCGAGAAGCCGGGCCCGGGCCCCGGGCTCGAGCCTCAGCCCGTGGGGCTCATCGCCGTCGGGGCCGGAGGCGGAGGCGGCGGGGGCAGCGGCGGTGGCGGCAGCGGGGGCAGCGGGATGGGAGAGCTGAGGGGGGCGTCCGGCTCCGGCTCGGTGGTGCTGCCCGCGGGGATGATTAACCCTTCGGTGCCGATCCGCAACATCCGGATGAAATTCGCAGTGTTGATTGGACTCATACAGGTCGGAGAGGTCAGCAACAGGGACATCGTGGAGACGGTGCTCAACCTGGTAAGGGAAAAGGCGTGCTCTCCTTCTGCCTCCCAGCCCCCGTAGCCTCCCTCCCCAGCCTCTCGCTCCCACACACCTCCACCCCCGGGGTCGCACACGCAGCGCGTCCCTGGGAGCACCGATTGTCGGGCGGGTATTGCCCAGCTGGTGACCTCCCTGCGCGCAGCCGTAGCCACGCCACCTCCCCGCTCTCCTCTGGTCCTCTCCTGCCACCTGAGTGCAGTGCCCAACTTAACACCGCTTATTATCACTTCCCCTGACTATGAGTAGAAATCATTCCTTGCCGTGTCGGTTTTGCGTCGACTTGAGAGTTTAGTTAGGGGGAGAGAAGGCCTCCTTTTCTCTGGGGTTCTTTCTTCTACACTCTTAATTGTCTGTGGTGTCGCTCTCTGAGGATGAAAGCCTTCCCCCTGGAGCCGAAATTCCCCCGTGCTACTGAAATGTGAGAAGCGCATTAGGTCTAACTTGAGCAGCTGGGGTGTGATGTTTTCGAATGAGAAAACGATGCAGTTTTGCATCTGCCTTTAAATCTATTCAGAGGCTGTGATGGAGAGTGTTGTGACTGTATCTCCCACCGCCCTCCTCCCCGCACCATCTCTTTTTAGGCAGCCTTCTTTCTTTGAAATATTGCCCTGAATATGCTGACCTCTTAGTCTTTTTTTTTTCCTTTCTTTCTTTTCTTTCTTTTTTCTTCTTCTTCTTTTTTTTTTTTTTTTTGGTGCACACAAGGTGTTAAAATGTGAGGGCACCAAATCATACAGGTTGGTTTATGTCGTTGCCTTCCGAGAGCGTGGCATGTGGATAAAGACTAAAGGAAAGGTGTTAAATGCAGCCATAGGTTTTGGTTTCTTTCATGATAAGAAAGAGTTACTGCAGAACTGTGTATGACTTAATGTTTTGCGCTATCTACAGAGAGGCTAAGAAGCGTTCAAGATGTCAGGGGAAGAAAAGAGAAGAAATAGCAGAATCGTAAATTGCGGATAATTAAGAGTAGTTCATTTTTAATGTTTTGCAAATGCAGTTTTTGCTGCAGCAAAGCTTTTAAAACAGTTTCCTCTGCAATATCCAATCTTTGACATACTGTTAAGGTAGGGTTTTGGAAGACAACGCTTAAATCAAGAGCGATCAGTTGACTGTTGTATTTGGTGTGGAGTCACAGAAATATAAAAATATGCTTACAAGGGGATTTATAACACCCACGTAGTGTGATTTTTCAGCCAAGCAATTATTTTTATTTGATCTGTTGGAAAACTGAAAGCAAGCTGCAGCTACAGCAGTGGTGCCCTGAGACATGGATTAATGTCTATGGTTTATGAACCTCTTAAATTCACAGAAAAGTTAAAGCTGCTTTTTTTTTTCTTTTTTGCTAGTACCTCAAGTCAAAGATAGGAGAATATGTGTTTGCTTTGTTATATTGTTACTGTTTAAATAGGATTCCCCTCTTTCTACTCTGTCTACCCTTCAAATAAATCACCACAAAAGTCATTGTAAGTTTGGGGGAATGTCATCTCGATATAACCAAATTCTTTACAAAACAATAACAGAAATATTGTTTCTTGGTAGTTTTAATTTTAACCAGCTGCAAATAGGAGGTCAGTACTTGCCTTTTTAAAAAATAAGCAAGATGAAATCTGAACATATATTAATATGTTAGCAGGTACTGTATTTCTGTAAATTTTAAAGAACATATATAAAGTTTTTTTCCAGTTTCACCTAACCAATACCATTTTTACCTTAGATGATGTGATATTAGGTTATTTTAATAGGTATTTGTATGCTTAATAATTTTAACACGATAAGAGACAGTAGAGCTCTCACAAGCTGGAAACTGATTTAAATGTGTAACCAGTTTGGACTCTGCAGCAGTAGTGATGTATGCCAGATCAGTTCTTAACAGATGGGGTTCTATAGATATACAGTAGGTTAAGAAAGGAAGTGAAATACTTCTTTTGAGATGAAAAAGAAATTTAACTCTCTTACATGCAGTGAAAATCTGGTGTGAAGTCTCAGTATGCAAACATTATATTAGAGATTAACTTTGCTGTTAAGCTTAACTGGAGTAATCAGAAATAAGGTAATACTGAAATGTTATGTCCCAAATCCACATAAGACTTGTAATTGCATTTATTTTGGAATAAAAAAGGTTAGGTTTAAAATTTCTTTGTATGTATTTAAAGGATGCAATATGTCTTTAAATGGAAACTTTCGGGGAAAAGAATATATGACAAAGGGAGCTATTTGCTATTAAGTTAATTATATTGATTTTGGAATACAAATTGATCACTTGAAGGGTAGTATTTCTTGAACTGTAGGTTTAGGGCTTTATCTTTCTAATATACTCATGATGAAAATGTCATGTGAAAATTTAAGCTGATTCTGAAAGTATTTGGAAATCATAGGCATTTAAAAAATTATCAAAACTTAATTCTATTTACTTAATAAGTAAATCAGTAAAATCCATTTAGGGAACTCAGTAACTAGTTAGAAGTTGGAAGCCTCTAATATTATCTTTAAAATGAGTTTTTTCAATTTTCAATCTTAAAACATTAAAAAGTAGGTAGAAATAGTGAAATCTTTATCACAGTGCCATTTATGACAGAAAAGAAAGGAGGGGAACTAATGAAACTTCAAAAGAAAACAGTTTCTACTTAAACAGTCTAAATCAATCACCTTTGCCAAAATATTTTTCTATTTTTCCTGTACATTCTTTATCTCTGGATAATATGAGAATACTAATATTTGGTTTTTAGGTGCTATTTCTCTCCTGCCTTGCCCAAAGAATTAAAAGTTTTGCTGAGTAAAGTTTAAGCATGCAGTGAAATATAGAGCTTCTACACAGCCATGGCTGTAATTTTTCTGCTTTTGTTTGCCAAGGTAGAGCTGTTTCCATTATTCAGGTGGGTTGTGAATTTGTCAAAGAATCACCAATGTAAAGAGAAATAAAATGAATAATTTCTATTATAGATAGATATATTCTGTGTAATGATACTGATAACTTGAAACATTAAAATATAGCACCCTGGGCGCCTGGGTGGCTCAGTTGGTTAAGCGACTGCCTTCGGCTCAGGTCATGATCCTGGAGTCCTGGGATCGAGTCCCACATCAGGCTCTCTGCTCAGCAGGGAGTCTGCTTCTCCCTCTGACCCTCTTCTCTCTATCTTTCATTCTCTCTCTCTCTCAAATAAATAAATAAAATCTTAAAAAAAAATATAGCACCCTATACTTATAGGATCAGGAAGATGAATAAATTAATTTGTAAATAATGTTACAGTGAGAGTATATTGTCAAGAATTTTGCAGTGTAGCTATGAAAGAAGCTAATCATCAACAAACTTTGACTTTAGGAAGAATTATAATGTGGTAGTACAAGAGAGTCTAACTATAGATAAGGAATTTGGTTGCCTGTTTCAGTTATAGGCATACTGCTTAATTGAGTGCTTCCTTTGTAACCACCCTTAACATATGTTTATTATAGGGTTTTTCTTTCCTTGAAGTAAATGTTATGTAAATATCATGAGTTCTTATTTTATAACATGAAAGTTTCTTTTTATCAAAGATTTTAATATAAACATAGTATTAGAAAAGATAAAATAGAGGATTGATATTTACTTAGTGAAAGAATTCAGGTTTGAATAGCTGTCTTAGGTAGTATAATTCTATAGCATTTAATTAAAATTTTTTTTCCACAAATTACAGTGCAATATCAGTGTATCTTTACTTGTAGAAAATATTTCCTCTGATAATTTCATTTTTTTTTTACATGTGAATGGCATATTGTATTGAAAGCAATAAAAGATACTTTCCTGGGATTTTGTGGGCTAAGTTCCTCTCCTCTCTTGCATATGAATCATAGTATTTTTGTTAAAAGGGAATTTTTAAGTGATTCTCTTGTAATTGAACATGACAGTAACTTTTCTTAGTTTTTTCATCTGTAGTTTGATAATCAGAATCATTTTCACTTTAAAGATACTTAGAATTTCACAAAAGGTATATTCTGTATTTGAACTAAATTTATTTTAAAAATACGTAATTGCGTCTTAGGATCATGGAAGTCCTTAGTATTAACAAAACCACATTTACTTATGTTAAGAGAGAATTTCCTGCATTTTAGTTTATATTGACATGTAAGTCTTTTCATATTAACTTGAATTATATTTTATTTTTGCTATTGGGTTTTGAAAGTTAAATTAAGAATGCATTTGTAAACATTGGAAGTTACACTATCAAGAGTTCTGAGATTTTCCATAGAAAGATTAATTTAGTCATGGAATGACACTAAAGCAGTCTTGATGAGCCCTGAGAAATGTACAGAATTGTTGAATCATTATACTGAACATCTGAAACTAATGTAACACTGTATGTTAATTATACTTGAATTAAAAAAGACAGTAAAGAGCAAATACTTTATAGCCAGTTTATGATCAAGGCATATTAATCTTAAATAAGTATTTTGTATATTGCTAGTCAGTTTTTGGCAAATACTGTGCTGTTGAATAAATGTATTTCAGAGTTCTGTCTTTGCTATGCTTTCTCCACACACAGCGTAGAGAAATTCATTGGTCCTAGCTGACTCACCCCGCATTTTGGATCCCTGATGTACCACTTTATCATAAAATTCAATCATCCACATTTTTGACTGTTTACTTTAAATATTATATTGCATCAGTTTCATAGGCTTCCAGTTTCTTGCCTCTACTTTTCATATTTTATGCATTGTCAGCATACAAGTGTCCCCTGCTTTCCAAGAGTTGGTGTTTTGCCATTTCACTTTTATGAAAGACCTGTATTAGTACCTGGTTTTGTTAACCAAAAGAATTCTGAAGAGGATTTTTGCTTTTACAAAAAAAGCCATTACTGTACTAGTAATAGGTCTTTTGTTAAAGTGAAGTAGCGTATTGCCAACTTTTGGAAAGTGGGAGGTACTCTTCACTTTACGCCATTTCGGCTTTTGAAAGGTCTCATAGAACACTCTAGTTTTGGATAGTGGGGGAAACCAGTATC